CCATGCAAGATCAACTAATTCAAAATCTCCGGGCACAGAGACAAAGCCTTAGAGCTCAAATTTACTATATTGATGATTATGCTGTAGGCAGTCTTCAGTTCGCTGTATGAGAAACACTATCTTATATAAGATATTAGTGAAACGTCTCTTCTAGTAGTTTATGTTCTTTACCATTAGACGTCATAGTCACTTCAACAGATTCCACTGGTTAGATCACTCATCGTCGTCTGTAGATGAGAGCTGTAGAGGAAGCAAACTCACAGAGCGCTTGTAGATATCCACTCAAAACTTATGAATAGCTCTGAGTTCAACTTCAGGAAAGCGTAAAAATAAATAGAAAATATGGCTTTCCTGCAACTTGGAGGTCAATCATTTGGGCAAATTTTAGTTAGAATATGAAATACTCAGTGAAAAGTTCAATCTCTCAAATGTCCCTCCTTCTCCTGCTATCCACCTAGAGCTTATTCATTCTCACTATGAACTGAATTAGTGAAAAATCAAGGTTAGAGGAGGAGGAAAGAAGCTTAAGTCATCTAATTTTATGACTTATTAGCAACTCAAAGAATCTGATGATAGGAAGGCTGGAATGAAAAACTAAGATGGTATTTTTAGACTTTCTGTGAATTTCATTTGTTCTCATTACCACAACACATGAAAAATTAGCTGTCAGAAAATCCAAACCAAGACAGGAGAACATAATAGAAAACCAGGAATTAATCAAGTCATCATATTCTGGAACTCTTTATATATATATATTTCTAGAGGTTTTTCACTATAGGGCACATGTGCTCGCCAGACAGACAGAGAGAGACATAGAGACAGAAAGCGAGAAATCACCCCCCAGGGGGGATGGCCACGCCACAATCCCTTCTCCTCCATTCTCCTCTCGGGATCTTGGGCACGCACGCACACGCGCCCAGTGTGAGTTTTAAGCCACCAGGTCCAGGACACGAACCACGGTCAACTACGTGGGAGTCCAGCGACATAGCCATTATGCTAACTGCTGGTTCCCCCAGGGTAATATGTTGAAGACAACAATGTTGCATTTCTTCACAATATGCTACCTATTTTTACAGAAAAATAAAGGAGTTAAGGTGATCAGTAAAATTGATTGAGAATAGCTACATTTTTGTTCCTGTGCCACTACCTGTAGATGATTCACGGATTTCAGGAGATTTTTTTTTTTTATCTTTATAGCCCAAAATGTACAGAGAACTTGTTTGTAAATAACTTACAGGGACAGCTGTCTCACATGTAAGATATTTTGTCTTATTTTAATTTGATAATCAGAGTTACAACTTCCTTACAACTAAGAAGTGGTGAGAAATGGATGATGTTGTGCTTATTCTTCAGTAAGTCTATAAAACTGGCATTTTGACACACAGTAGGTGGTCTGACAAGTGATGACGTGTTTTTCTGTTTTTCTACACAAAAATGCGTCAGGACTTTTCTGACGACTCAATATTTGCATGAGCTTCCAGTAACACAAGGTAGAATCGTGGTTTTCTAAAGGACTTCAAAATTTCCTGAAAAAGATTTCTGAGCTTCATTTTATTTGTTCTGCTACACAGTTGTTTCGACTTAGCATATAGACTATCTCCACATCTAGAAATACATAGTTACAAAAATGAGTGCATACCTACCTCATTGGTTTCATAAAGTTAATTCCATTCTCATTTACATGCATGCGTTTTACCTAAGACTTTAACTGGCACTTAAAAGCCAACATCGAGTTAGATTTTTAAAATATGTCATGAAACTCTAGTGTGATAGTCACTTTACAGTATGGAGTGGACAGACTTACACACACACATCCTTAGGGGTGTTAGGGATTTAATTTTTTTCTTCATTGAAGTTCCTTAGGTCTGTCATATAATCTCTGGAAAACACACATGCTGCCTGACTGAAGAGTCACTAATTAGATCCTGAATATGGTGCTTTTGTGTTCAAATTTTCAAGTATTCATCTCCATCCCAACTATTTTTCAAGCTGTTAATTTTTTTGAAAACCAGAGGGTGCATGCCCTTGCCAGAGAGAGACAGAGAGAGAGAGAGAGAGAGGGAGAAAGAACCTCCCAGTAGGGTGTGGTCACCATGCAGTCCCTTTTTCATTTCTTAACGGAGTCTGGATTTGGGGCAAGCACAGGGACAACTAGAACTGGGATTCGAAGGCAGTTGGTCAGCCATGTAGGATCCAGCTCCCTGAACTACTAGGCCACAAGGCTGTCCCAGACCCTTACTTTAAGGCCAAAATCAAAGCCATAGCTATTCAAACCTGAAATTAAAGAATAAAAATTAAACATGCAATTGAGCTTGATTTAATTCTATTTACTTAGAGTACACTGCCTGAAACAGAACTGTATTTACAAGTATTAGTTAAGGCTTGGATCACCCCTGCAGTCGCTCAGAAGGAACTGTTTTGTAGATACAGAGCACTTTTAACTTTCCAGCTGGGTTCCTGCTTTGCTTAGCTAATTCCATGTGCCCCAATGTGCGGTCCACACCTGAAATGGGGCGAGTTTTTGATGTGGCTTATTAACCAGGTACTTTCCACTCACTCAGTTAACAATTAGAAAACAGAAAGAAAGAAATGGAGTGAGCGAGCCTCCTACTTGTTTTTTTATCTCCAAATAAGGGGACGGAAATTCTTACACAAATAAGGAGGGAAACTCCGCATACTTCACCTTGACCTGGCTGAGCTGGCATGCCTGTAGAGGCGGATGCTCTCTTAAAGAGGTCGGGTTGAAAAATGAAATGTCAGTCTTCAGCACCCGGGACCGCTACTGCCCCTAGAGGGAAAAGTTCGCCGTATCCCTTCCTCAAAGTGCAACTAGTGCCTTGCTTCCTATAGGAGAGGGACCGGGTTGCCCGCATCGGGTTAGCCTGGTAGTGACAGGACCCGAAAAGGTGCGCTGCTTCCCGGGACAGTTGACCAGCGTAACAATCGCTCCCCGCTTGCATCTGAACTTCTGAGCTGTTGACAGAAATCCCCTCCCACCGCTTAGCTTCTCTTTCCC